ATTAAAATTAAAAAAAAAAAAAGACCTGGACTCTAAACCTAAACAAAGTTTAAATTAAGAAAGCGACCAAAAAATCTGGAGAAATTATAGCATTGCACTACCTCAAACAAAATTTTAATCCTTATGGCAGTAGTTCTCGGCTTTTTTCTACAACATTCCCGCATCCAACAAAAAATCCTCCTCTCATTTAGCTAGAACCTCCCCTCCATTTAGCAATATGGCAGAAACAGCACCTATATACAAATTCCATTAGATTTACAGTTCCCAAATTGAACTGTGGTCATATTACATCTTGTGTCTCAGAGTACTAATCGGTTTCACAATTATGAGGCCGTTATTCATACTGACACAAAATATGGTGCCTAGAGGACTTCCATGTTTACAGAATTGACATTTAATAAGACTGATTTTGAAAACCCATAAGCTTTTGTATGAAAAATTCAATAGGTTTATTTCTTGGTTTCCAAATGGCTCAGTGCTTCCTTGTAATGGGAGTATGTATGTCTGATAATCCTCTGCCAGCAATCACTACTCCTTTAAAGTAGTATAGTAGCTGTCAAGCATTCTGGCGTGTGTTTTGATAGGAGTCCGCCGTAGGGAAAAGTTAGGCTTCATGCACAGAAGAGGGAAGAAAGGAAGGTTGGTTGCTACCTGGCTGTGTGGAAGAGTTCTGGAAGCATGTATTGTAAATTTAATTTCCCTTTGTGGGGAAAACAGCCCAAGAGACAATTGCAGGCAGGTCTGGCAGGGAGACAAAAAGTGCTGTGTAACTGGCTACAGGAAAATGGCAAATTCCATGGGAGGAAAGAGAAGGTTACTCACCTTGTGCAGTAACTGAGGTTCTTTGAGATGGTTGTCCATGTGGGTCCTCTACTTCAGGTGTCTTGACACCCTATGCTTGTAATTGGATATTTGTGGTAGCAGTCCGCAGTTGGACTGCGCACGTGCCATAGCAGTTTCAGGCCATTCAAAAGGTTACGTAGCGGGGCGGAGCCAACTGTCCCCCTGTTCCTTCTCTACCCAGAGAATCTACATGAAACTCCGAAGTAGAGGTGAGGAGGAAAAGTAGTGGAGCATCCACAGTGACAACCATCTCTCAAAGAACCTCAGTTACTGCACAAGGTGGATAACCTTCTCTTCTTTGAGGAGTGTCCCTGTGGGTGCTCCACTTTAGGTGACTATTGAGCAGTGTCCATCAGTGGAGGGGAGGGGCTTCAGAGTTGCGTTAATGACAGTGGATAACACTGTGAGCCCAAATTGAACACCTGATGCAGATTGTTGCTCTAGAGAATAGTGTTTAGTAAATGTATGGACTGATGTCTACTCTGCAAATATCAGTGATAGTGACACTGTTGAGAAAGGCCAAGGATATTGCCTGTGCTCTGGTGGAGTGTGTGCAAACTTCCACTGGAGGATGTAGATTGTTGTTTTTGTAGCACAAATGGATACATCCTGATATCTATTTGGATAGTCTCTGTTTTGAGATGGTTTGACCCCCGAATACTCTGTTGTGGAAACAAACAGTCTCTGATTTTCTAAAAGTTTTTGTTCTGTGAACATCCAATGTGTGGAGTGAGGCCTGCCTCCCTCTCGTCCGCATGTGGGGAGGAACTTGGGATGCGGTCGTAGGGTTACTTTATCTTTAAAAAAATGTTGTATAAGGTGGGTGTTCCATTAGGGCACCTAATTCTCCCACTTGTTTGGCAGATGTGATGACATTGAGGAAAGCCATCTTTATGGATAAGTGCAAAAAAGAGCAGGTTGCAAGGGGTTCAAACAGCTTTTTGATGAGTCTGCGTAGAACAAGGTTGAGGTCCCACATGAGTGTGGGGCTTTTTATTGTGGGATAAGTGTTTTCAATGCCTTTATGGAAGTGTTTAATGGTTGGGTGAACATATACAGTGACCCCCATCCACCTTGTTGGGGAAGGAGGTAATAGCAGCCAAGTGTACTCTGATGGAGCTTGTGGATAGCCCCAATTTTTAAAGTCCTAGTATATAGCCCAGGATCCTCAGTAGGGGAGACTATTGTGGTAAGAGCTGTTTATCATGGCACCAGGTGCAGAATTGTTTCCACTTATGGATATATGTCTTTCTTGTACTTGGTCTCCGACTGTTCAGTAATGTATCTTACTTCCTCAGAACAGGCCTCCTTGTCCGCAGTCAGCCATGGAGTAACCAGGCCTTGAGGTGGAGTACTGCGAGGTTGGGATGACGGATGTGCCCACATCTTGAGATAGAAGGTACTCCAGGTACTTAGTGAGGTACTAAGGGAAGGGTTCGAGGTGGTTTCACTGCAGTCTGAAGCAGGTATGGGAACCATGTTTGTCTGGCCACATAAGTACTATAAGAATGACCGTGGATTTGTCCTGTTTGATCTTGCGAATTACTCTGCTTAGGAGTGGGGTCAGAGGAATTGCATACATCAGTGGTGCCTCCCATTTTATGAGGTGAGCGTTGCCTAGGGTGTGGTGTCTCAATCCCACCCTGGAGCAATATTGTGGGCACTTGGTCTTCTGAGCTGTTGCAAATAGATCTATAGTAGGAAACCCCCATAGTTAGAATATGGGCTTGAGAATTCCGGGATCCATCGGCCATTCATGGGTTTGTGAGAAGCCCCTGCTCAGGACATCTGCTCTTGTATTCTGACATCCTGGAAGATAGGATGTAGATCTCTGTTGTTGGTGATGCACCAATTCCAAAGTCGTATCACCTCTGTACATAGGGAGTATGATCATTCTACCCCCGGGTGGCTTATGTAAAACATGCATGCTATATTGTCAGTGAGGATCTTGATGGCATTGTTCTTATTTAGAGGGAGAAAGTGGTTGCATGCATTTCGGACTACCCTTAGCTCCAGTAAGTTTATATACAGGTTGGACTCTGCTGGGAACCAGCGGCCTTGGACTGTATTGTTGAGTAGGTGTGCCGCCAGCCCTATGAGGGAAGTGCCCGTCGGGATTGTCATGGTTGGAGTTTTGTTGGAAAGGGACTCCTCCTGGACAGACGTTCTTCGGTTGTGTCCACCATGTTAGAGAGTCTTTTACTCTGTGTGGCATTGCGAGGTGTCTGTTGAGAGAGTGTCTGTGCAGCACATATACTGTTCGAAGCCAGGCCTGCAAGCATCTCAGGTGGAGTCTGGCATGTTTGATAAACTTTGTTGCTGACATATGCCCCAAGAGATGTAAACACATTCTATTGGTTGTCTGTGGGCTATCAATCACCGTTGAAATTGGATTGACTAGGGTAAGGAAGTTGTTGGGGTAGTGTTGCTATTGCTGTTAGACAGTTGAGACGGGCTCCTATTAATTCCAACTTTTGTATAGGAACCACTGTGGACTTCTGCACATTTATCTGCAACCCTCGGTTTGTGAAAAGAGTTACCATGCTCTGGATGGCATTTATTGCTTCT